CTCACAGGAAAGGTGTTCCAGGCAAAGGAACAGCAAGTACCTCCTTCTAGAACAAGAGGCCAGTGTGGCTACAGTGGAGTAAGCAAGGAGGAGAATCTTAGGGGATGAGGTCAGAGAGATCTGAGGACCAGATCTTTCTCACTGGGAGTGAGGTGGGAAGTTGCTGCAGAATTTGTGCAGAGAAGTGATATAATCCAACTGGCATTTTTAATGACTGCTGGCTGCTGAGAAAATATGAGGGCAAGAGCCCAGAGATTGAGCCCTGCAGGACTCCATTGTTAAGCTGGGGACATGAGGAAGAAACTAAGGAAAAGCATCCAGTGATGTAGAATAAAAACCAGAAAGTGTCCTAGATACCAATAAAATTTCAAAGAGGCAGGAATGATCAACAGGCTCAAATGGTACTCAGAGGTTAGGAAGATGAGGACTGAGAACTAACTACTAGATCTAGCATGTAGAAGTCATTGGTTATGTGGATAGGACCAGCTTCATTGTAACTGTGGGGATAAAAGCCCAATTGGAGTGGGCTCAAAAGACAGTGAAGTAAGTGTAGAATAGAAATGGAATCATACTCCACAGTCACATTTCATTGCTAAGCTTTTAGTGGTACAATGGTGTAATTAAAACATCAACATAGTCTTATTTTTTAAAAGTCAAAAGATACAAATCAAACAATAGTTTCTTTCAACTATTACCCTCAGTTTCAGATGTCACCAGTATTATCATGTTGGTGTGTATCTTTCCAAATCTTTTTCTAAGCTTTTATATCCGTATAAAAGTGTAGTAGTGTGGCCGCTTTTGTTTGCTGCTGTTATTTACATGAATGGTATCACACCGAATCTGTTGTTCTACTTGCTTTTTCACTTAATTGGCCTTGAAGTTTTTTACCAGTAAATACAGGTAAAAATTCTTTGTAATTGTTGCATAATAGTACATAGTATAGATGTACAATTATTTATTTAAAGATTCCCCAACTGATGCATAAAATTGTTCCCAGATACTCATTTCCACAGTGTTACAGTAAGCTGCCTCCTCTTTGTATACACACCCGAGTATTGCTCTAAGACATGCCAAGAAAGTGGAATTGTTAAGTGAAAAGTTACACATTTTAATCATCACCTTCCTAAAGAGCTGACCCAACATATGCTTCCATCAGAAGGGTTATTGAGACCACCCTTTTCCTACCCTTTCCCATATAAGATATTGTAATTCTTTTAAATTTTTGACAGTCTGGTAGGTGGAAATTATTATTTTATTTCTTAATTATTATGATTATTGCCAAGGTTGAGCATCTTGATACCAACATATTTTTTTTGGTTACTCGATTATCTTCTTGGAATTAAGCAAACAGTGTTCATATCTTTTGCCCGTTTTCCCATTGGGTTGTCTTGTCTTTCTTGATGTTTATTTTTTGGCAGCTCTTTACATATCTGTAATACTTCTTTGAATGTTGTATATGTTGCAGATTGCTCCTCCTAGTTTGTCTTTTACATTTGCTTGTGGTCATTTTTGTTATATATAATTTTAAATTTGATGTAAGTAAATCTTTTCCTTGTGATTCTCACATTTTGTGGTTTAAAAAGTATTTCCCTAATTCAAGAATATACATATATTTTCCTACATTTTCTTCTAAAACTTCTAGAATTTTACTATTTATCTTTAGCACCTTAATCAATATGGACTTTACTTTTGTGAATGGCTTAAGAAAATAACCATCCTTTTCCCCCCAAATTTTGTCTCTATACTACTCCTTAACCAGTCCAACCCTTCCACTCTGCTTCCCCACACACACAAATATTCTGTTCCACTGAACTATTGGTATTTTCCTATACCAATATCACACTATCTTAATTTCTATGGTTTTACTTATTTAATATATGATAAACCAATTTCTCCCCTCCTTATTCTTTTTCAAAATATTATTCCCAATTATTCTTGGGCACTTGTTCTTCCAAAAGTATTTCAGAATCAAAATTCCATTGAAAAATCCCACCAAAACTACATTGACTATGTAGATTAACTTATGAATAATTGATACCTTTTTAATATTAAGTCTTGCTTTGCAGGAACCTAATGTACCTCTCCATTTTTTTTTCTGATCTTCGTGTATATATATATATTGTATATACTATATATATGAGCCTCATAAAGCTCTTATTAGTCTATGCTAGGTATTTTTTTTTTTTTTTTTTTGAGACAGAGTCTTGCTCTGTCGCCAGGTTGGAGTGCAGTGGCGCAATCTCGGCCCACTGCAACCGCCACCTCCCAGGTTCAAGCAATTCTCTTGCCTCAGCCTCCTGAGTAGCTGGGATTACAGGCACGAGCCACCATGCCCAGCTAATTTTTGTTTTTTGTTTTTTTTTTAGTAGAGACAGGGTTTCATTACATCGGTCAGGATGGTCTCGGTCTCCTGACCTCATGATCCACCCGCCTTAGCCTCCCAAAGTGCTGGGATTACTGGTGCGAGCCACTGCAGCTGGTCAGAATCTTTTTTTCTATTGTATTTTCTAATTGGTTATTGTCAGTCTATAGGAAAACTATTGATTTCTATGTATCAATCTTGTATCTGACCCCCTTGCTGTACTTCCTTATTCATCCTAGTCGTTTGTCAGTTGAAAGTCTAGTGGACAATTACATTCCATGTGAATAGTGGCAGCTTTTTTGTTTGTTTGTTTGTTTGTTTGAGACAGAGTCTCGCTCTGTCGCCAATAGTGGCAGTTTTATCTATTCTTTATTGGTTTTACTTAGCAGTTGTTATGGTCTAAATGTTTGTGTTCCCCTCACATATTGAAACCTGATCACTAATGTGATAGAATTAAGAAGTGGAGCCTTTTGGAGATAATTAGGTCATGAGGATGCAGCCCTCATGAATGGGATTAGTACCCTTGTAAAAGAGGCCCCAGAAAGCTAGTTCATTCCTTCCACCATGTGAGGACACAGCTAGAAGGCACCATATATGAACCAGGAAATGGGCCCTTACCAGACACCAAATCTACCGACACCTTGATCTTGGACTTCTCAGCTTCCAGAACTGTGAATATAAATTTCTGTTGTTTATATAAGGTACTCAGTTTATGATATTTTGTTATAGCAACCCAAACAAACTAAGACAGAAAATTGCTGCCAAGATGTGGGGATGCTGCTTATGAACCAAAAAGTACCTGAGACAGGTTTCAATCAATTTACAAATTTTTTTGCCATGGTTAAGGACATGCCCAGAAGAGATTTAAGACAGAGTCACTGAAATGGTCTTTGCCTTCCTCCAAAGATGATTTTGAGGGCTTCAATATTTAAAGGGGAAAAGCAGGCTGGAAGGAAAGGAAGAAGGAAGTGGTAATCCATGTGTTGCAGGAGAAAAGGAGCAGATAAGGGAATAGTCAAGTATGTATTCATCTGGCACTCAGTAAATCAGCACTTTATATAAGATAAAGTGAAGGTAGAGTAGCTACCCATGGAGATATTTAACTTTTTATCTGTAGCTGTCTGCTTAGAACAAAAGAAAGGGTGGTTTCTTGCATGACTCAGATTTTAGCTTAATTTTTTCCTTGTGGCATAGTGAATTGGGTTCCTGAGTTTTTATTTTCCATTCACATTTCTTCTCCCTTTTCTTTTAAAAATGTTTCATCTTTCTGAAACATACCAAAAAATAAATAAATAAATTTTTAAAAATAAAATTTCTCAGAGAAAGCATTTTAGAAAAAAATGAGTCTGGTCTCAGGTTGTTTCTGATCTTTCATGGCTAAAACAGTTTTAGCAGTTTGTGAAGTCTCAGGTCCTGTGAAGAAAAAATAGGAGAGGAAGGGAGAAAAACAACAACAAACAAAGGAACAATCCTGGAAAACTGCTATAGGCCACATTACTCTGAAATCCATACATCACTAGGCAGGTATGAAAGTGGCTTATGTGTGTAAATAAGGTTGTTGTTATTTTCTTCTAAAGTTTAAGTTTTCTAGCTTCAGTTTGCAGGGCTTTACAAAAGCACAGCTTAGTTTTCAGTGATTCCCAAATTGGGGAAAATGGGGGAGAAAAGAAGGAAAAAAATTGAAAACATTATTTTGAAGATTTGTAACCAAGAAAAATTAGAATTCAGTCCAAACTGTAGAAAATAATAAAAATTGAAAAACATTAGTCAAGACAAGAATCTAACAAGTATACTATAGGTTTGGAAACATAATTTTTCTCTCTCCAGTTTCCCATTTTTACTAAAGACAAATCCTAATTATTTGTATACAGTGCAGCAAGAATAATTATTTTTACATAAACTTTTAAATTGGCTTAGATGCAACTTTTGTTCTGTAGAAAGAATCTCGGATAAGACTTTTTTTAAAGTTGAGCCCAGCCATGGATTTGTACCATCAAATACCTATGAGTTGGGTGATCCTCTCTCCTCTTGAAGTTCCAAGATAAAACTTGGGGGCCCTAGGCCTGTCAGAAAATGACATTCTTTACTTACCACAGGTCAGGAACTCTGTACAGGGACTGTATGGACAAGTATGAGGCCAGTTTTCCCAAAGGGCTTTTATTGGATCCGTAAGTCAAATTCGATTCCTTAAGGAAAGCACATCATTCCAGTCAAAGCCTTGGTAAACTAACCAGTTTCTCCAATTGTGTTCTATCATAAATGAAAACAGATTCTTATTGCACTTATACAAATAACTGTATTGCTATAAGTTAAGAATGCTCACAAATAGTTTCCAAATTCTGGAGAAATCAGGTAGAAAACAAATACACTCCAAATTTTGTTCTTAGGAGTATACTTTACTCAATTGTTAAAAGCTGTAAATAGCTTAAAAGTTTTCTTGAGTCTGAAAAACAAAACAGAGGATCAGCAACATTTTAAGCAAAAAGTTAAAAAGATTACTTCGAACGGGAAGCAGCTGATGGCCTCTCCGGGTGGTGGTGGCGGCCAGGCCAGGGCGGGTGGCACAGGGATGGCATGAGGGCCCACGGCCCGGGGGGCTGAGGCACCCATCACCTGCCGCAGGGGCCACGCGTCCTCCATGGAGGCCGGAGAGGAACTGCTGCTGCTGGCCGAACTCAAGCCCGGGCGCCCCCACCAGTTTGATTGGGAACTCAAGCCTGGGCGCCCCCACCAGTTTGATTGGAAGTCCAGCTGTGAAACCTGGAGCATCGCCTTCTCCCCAGATGGCTCCTGGTTTGCTTGGTCTCAAGGACACTGCATCGTCAAACTGATCCCCTGGCTGCTGGAGGAGCAGTTCATCCCTAAAGGGTTTGAAGCCAAAAACCGAAGTAGCAAAAATGAGACAAAAGGGCAGGGCAGTCCAAAAGAGAAGATGCTGGACTGTGGTCAGATTGTCTGGGGGGTGGCCTTCAGCCCATGGCCTTCCCCACCCAGCAAGAAGCTCTGGGCACACAACCACCCCCAAGTGCCCGATGTCTTTCGCCTGGTTCTTGCTATGGGACTCAACGATGGGCAGATCAAGATCTGGGAGGTGCAGACAGGGCTCCTGCTTTTGAATCTTTCTGGCCACCAAGATGTCGTGAGAGATCTGAGCTTCACACCCAGTGGCAGTTTGATTTTGGTCTCCACATCACGGGATAAGACTCTTCGCATCTGGTACCTGAATAAACACAGTAAACAGATTCAAGTGTTATTGGGCCACCTGCAGTGGGTTTACTGCTGTTCCATCTCCCCAGACTGCAGCATGCTGTGCTCTGTAGCTGAAGAGAAGTCAGTCTTTCTATGGAGCATGAGGTCCTACACGTTAATTCGGAAGCTAGAGGGCCATCAAAGCAGTGTTGTCTCTTGTGAGTCCTCCCCCAACTCTGCCCTGCTTGTCACGGCTTCTTACGATACCAACGTGATTATGTGGGACCCCTACACCAGCGAAAGGATGAGGTCACTCCACCACACCCAGGTTGACCCTGCCATGGATGACAGTAATGTCCACATTAGCTCACTAAGATCTGTGTGCTTCTCTCCAGAAGGCTTGTACCTTGCCACGGTGGCAGATGACAGACTCCTCAGGATCTGGGCCCTGGAACTGAAAACTCCCATTGCATTTGCTCCTGTGACCAATGGTCTTTGCTGCTGCACATTTTTTCCACATGGTGGAGTCATTGCCACAGAGATAAGAGATGGCCACATCCAGTTCTGGACAGCTCCTAGGGTGCTGTCCTCACTGAAGCACTTATGCCGGAAAGCTCTTCAAAGTTTCCTAACAACTTACCAAGTCCTAGCACTGCCAATCCCCAAGAAAATGAAAGAGTCCTCACATACAGGACTTTTTAAGCAATGCCACATCTTGTGTTTCTTTGTAGCAGGGTAGATAGTCCTGTCAAAGGGAGGTGCTGGAATAATGGACCAAACATCTGGTCTTGGATTCAAATAGCATTTCTTCAGGATTGTGAATAGAATGTAGCAAAACCAGATTCCAGTATACTAGTCATGGATCTTTCTCTCCCTGGCATGTGAAAGTCAGTCTTAAAGAAAGAGATTCCACTTGCATGGCAACAGAGCTTTACCTTAAATCTTTAGTCCAGTTACGAATACCAAGTGTTGAACTCTTTCTAGTCGTTTTGATTCAAAGTGCAGTTACTGATGTTGTTTTGATTATACAAGTAAGTAGGCCTCCAGAGCCTCTCTAGTGGCAGAGCAGCTCACACTCCCTCCACTGGGAAGGATGGCTTCTGCCTAGTACCTATCCTTGTGTTACTGATGCAGTGGTAGCATTGGTTCAAGTTCTCTCCTGCTGTGGTCAGAGTTGCTTCGACGTCAGCCAAGTGCTTTTCTTCTTGGGCTCCCTTCTGACCTTCAGGACAGTTTTCCTGGAGCCATTTGGTATGAGGTATTAATTTAGCTTAACTAAATTACAGGGGAATCAGAGGCCATGCTCCTGACCGATCCACACACTATTATTGGCTTTTTTTTTTTTTTTTTAACAATGGTGTGCATGTGCAGGAGATGACAAATTTGTATGTCAGATTATACAAGGATGTATTCTTAAACTGCATGACTATTCAGATGGCTACTGAGTTATCAGTGGCCATTTATCATCACCATATTTATTTGTATTTTCTCAATAGTTTTGGCCAGACCTCAACAGATGTTAAGGTACAACTGTGTTTTTCTCGATTATCTAATAACTATAGTACTTAAATTGAACAGTTGCAAAGATGTCTTAATTGTGTAAAGAATTGGTGTAGTCATGACTTTAGCTGATACTTTTATGTACAAGATCTGCCTCTGCTGTTTAACTTCATTGGATTAATCAGCTGGTTTCAACTCTACTGCAAAACAAAAATAGCTCCTTAAAAGTACTGTTCTCCTTCAGTGGCATGTAGTTATCTAATCAAGACACCTCATTCAAACAAAACCTGCCTTAGGAAAATTTAATATATATTAAATTATTTTAAAAGAAATACAACATCTTATTCTTTAGCTTTCTTAATCGGTGCTTTATGGAGGCCAGTGTAACATTACAGGACTCATTGAGAAAGTTGAGGAATTTCCTCTACCACCTTTGTTGCTTGAAGAAAAACATATCTTTTCAAAATACGAGGATTTCATTGAAGGAAAGAAAAAAAAAAAGATTACTTCAGACTTCTCTTAGTCTATGCAGTTAATTCCTGTTCTGCTTGATATTCATGAATATTTCAGCTTCCCACGAGTCCTGAAAGCTTTTCCTCTATTCTGATGTCACAGTCTCTGAAGTTATCAGAAACCTGCATTTGAGAACACCTGTTAAGAGTTTTATAGCTGATTATAAAACCAGCTATAAAACTTTGGTGCTTCTAAAGAGCACCAAAACAAGATAACAATTGCCTGGGGATGACAAAAGTTTTAGGGCAGCCATAATTAAAGACACAATTGACAAGAAAATTTGTTACACAATAATTTTACACAATAATTTAACACAATTATAATTATTACTGATAATGTACATTAACTCATATCAAAATTATAGGAGTTTTCCATAATTTTGGAACACATACTAATAGCATATTTATACAAATACAGGCTAAAGAAAACCAAACATCATTTTATATTTGACAGTGCTTCCTGCATAATTTTTATACCAAATAAGCCAAATATGTCATTTTTGGACTTTAAAGAACCTAATATCTTAAAGGATTAATTAGATCAGGAAAAGACATAATTTATAATTTGATTTTGAAAGTTTGTCAATTATCAAAGGTTTAAAACACTTGATATCACAAAATAGGATCACAGGTTATTGTAAAATAAGTCATTTCATTTAACCAAAGTGATAACTCAAGGATTTCAAAAAAAGAGCAAAAACCTTCATTCTTTGAGAGAAGAGACTTAATTTTCCAAATTATAAGCCCTAGTAAAGACAACATGAAACCAATTAAATTTGTTTTTCAAATTTTTATAAATAATCTATAAAATTTTAATCTTGACCATAAGATATAACTTCCATAGCCTTTTGTAACCTTTATAAACTTTATGAAGGAATTGGTTAATGCTTCATGAAAACCTTGTTAAACTGACACAGGCACCTATATGCTAGTCTTATATCAGTGTGCTTTTGACATTGATGATTAAAGAGAAACTAAACTTATTTTATCCCTCAAAATTGGCCCTTATAATCTCACGGGCCCATCACTTCCATGGTAGTTCCTGGGCCTTGAGAAGTGGAATAGCTTTAATTTCTGGCCCTGTGTCTCGGGAATGCAGTTTATTTTGATTGACATCTTCTACCAGGCCTGAAGATGGGGCCTTAATTGCTGTCAGTGTTTAAAATTCAGCAGGACTTGGTGTCCTTTTTAGACAGAGTCAAAGCCCTGTAACTCAATCTCATAAGTACTTTAAAAGTGCATACAGAAGGATACACAGATGTAATAACCTTAATTTTTAAAACAATTTAATCTCAGCCTTTTTTCCTAAGCAAACCAAAACTTAATAATAATGTGACAACTTGATTATATAACTTTTTTTAAGAAATCCTCTTATCATGACTTACACAGACCATTCATGGCATGATTGGACTTTCTGGTTTGTCCTGAATATCCCTTTCTCTTAAACAATCAGTCATTCTACTCTAGGACTAAATTTACCATACAAGATTCTTTCTTTCTCATTGAAATTATTTCTCTTTAAGCTTTCTTACAAAAAACAAGCAAACCTCTTTATTTTTATAACTTTCTTTACATCTCTCTTATTTCCTTGTTCCTTTTACATTGTTTAATACATGACCTTTAAATAAGCTTTGAATTAAACAAAAATTATTCACCTTTTTAAAAAGGACACCCTTTTTTTAAAAGAATATTTTCCTACAAATATATTTTTATTGGAAAATACCCAAATAATGAAATATCTATAATTTAACTTTAGATTCTAAATTATGATGAATTTGTCTACAAGTATTTATCCCATTACATTTACCTAATTATTTTAATTGTTTACCTGAATTATTTATGAAAACTGTGATAGTCATCATTTAAAGTTATGGAACTGCCACTGCAAAATTATAACTGAGACAGTGAAAAAGATTTGACCCAACTGATTCCATCTTGCTTTTAACTTCCAAGCTGTCCTTGTTCATTCCTGGGCATAGGCTGAACTAGCTTTGGGAGGAACTTAGTTTATAATTTAGCTTTGAAACAAAGATGATAACGGTCCTTTCCCAAAACAAACCTTACTGCCTGTGGACCAGACTGCCTAAAACTACAAGATTAGAAGTTATGGTAATCTTACTAAATTTAAGATGTAGCTATTTTTTATTAAATCAATATCAATATCTTACTTATTAAAGATTATACAAGCAAAGATCATTTTGTCTTGGGCTGGGTTTATAGTTTTGTAACCCCTATGTCAGATTTTGACATCTTACAGCATTTGGCAGGGATAAGTATGAAATTGCTTGATTAAATAAATGTAAACAAAAATGTATGTTGACAATTCTTAAGACATTTCTAATATTACTTTACCAATAATTGAAAAGCTAGTTTATTTATTAAAGATTTTACTGAAGTTATGTAAACTTGAAAAAGCATTTGACTCGTCTTTTCTTTTTTCCTGATAAAGTATTCGATTCAAGTGCTTTTATTTTTCTTTAAGCCAATTAATTAGTGTTGTTTTATATCTTTTCAGTAATGAAACATTGTGTACAAAACACATGCATAGATATATTAGGCATGCCAATAGAAGTACATCTTATAGATTAATGAAAACCTTTTTTTTCCCCCTATGTTAGACATTCAGATTCTTGATAACCTATTTCACAACCCTAGGCAGTTTTCAGCTAAATAGACTTAAATTTGCATATTAAAGGAAACAACTCATGTGAAAATCAAATGGCAAAATTTATATCATAACATATGGAGAGAAAAAGTCTGGTGTGCTAGAGGGAGATTAAAGATGGATGCCAAATCAAACATAAAATTATAAAAATATTTCATAGTTTTGTGTAAGGAGACCAATTTTATTTAGACAGTGACTACCTATCTTTTAACTGGATTGCTGAGCTCTAGGCAAAGCCCATGCCGAATCCTGGGTTTCCAAAAAGGGAGAATTATTATGAGGCTAGACCACATCATGTTTTCACAGTGCACATAAAAAAAAAAAAAAATTTTAAACGAAGACATTTCTAAGTGCCTAAACGACACCCTTCTTTAAAAACCCAAGAGTAGCCTCTGTTGCAGTAACTATATTAGTCAATAAATCAGGTAACAATACCAAAGAAAGCAGTTTAAAAGCTGAATTGAACTTGTCTGTTTACACTCTTGGAGTTCCCATAGGGAAAAACAGCATTCTCCTCCGAAGGGAGTCTGGTACCTTCTCTGTTTTCTTTAAGGAACCCCGGGCTATTATAAACTATTTTAGGCCCCTCATGCAGCAGAGGATACAAGAGAAAGGAGAGACAGCAGAAGTAAATGAAGAAAACAGAATTCAGTCAACTGAGAAGAAAAACACTCTTGCTCAAAAGAAAAAGGACAAGATTCTAGGAGGAAAAAAAATTAAAACATGAAGGCCTTTTAAATGCAAACACACACAAGCACACATACACACACACATCTTGGATGTTAGCTTTTAATTAAGCTAATTTTAACCACTGAGCTTCTTTTAAAAAAATATTTTAAAATCTCATTACCATATTTCAGCTAGGAAAAATTACTGCTATTTCAGAAGTACCAAGTATCAAACCAGAAAGGGCTTGATTTAGGAACAAAACCCAGGCTGTTGTGGTGGAAAAAATAAGGCAGAACCTTAGCTATGGAACTGCAGCATGAGGCAACAACCACTACTTTTGGTTTGGCCTGGCTAGCAAACAGGTGGCCTCATTATGTAAAGATATAAAATATATGTTATATAAAAGATATATGTTATATAAAATAGTTACCTGCCTTCCAGTGTCATAGAAGCAGGACAAAAATGACTTCCTTGTGTTAGAAGCAAGTAAAACTTCAAAAAAAGAGAAGTTGTACAGCAAAATAAACTTTGGATCATGACCAAACTTGAGATCAGGGATTCTCTGGAGGGGGTGCTTCCAAGCCTCAGCAAATTGTCCTATTGGTTTGAGCCATACAGATAGCTCAAGCTAGTACCAACCACCAATAGAAGATTTGTCAAATATCAGGGATACCTCCACTCAGAATTCCTCTGTGGTTACCAAAATGTGAACCCCGAAAATCTGAGACAGGCCTCAGTTAATTTAGAAAGTTTATTTTACCAAAGTTGAGGATGCGCACCTGTGACACAGCCTCAGGAGGTCCTGGCGACATGTGCCCAAGGTGGTCAGAGCACAGTTTGGCTTTATCCATTTTAGGGAGACATGAGACATCAATCAACATATGTAACGAACATTGGTTTCGTCTGGAAAGGCGGGACAACTCAAACCTAGGAGGGGGCTTCCAGGTCATAGGTAGAGAAGAGACAAATGGTTGCATTCTTTTGAGTTTCTTATTAGCCTCTCCAAAGGAGGCAATCAGATATGCATTAATCTCAGTGAGCAGAAGGGTGACATTGAATAGAATGGGAGGCAAGTTTTCCCTAAGCAGTTCCCAGCTTGACTTTTCCCTTTAGCTTAGTGATTTTGGGGCCCCAGTATATTTTCCTTTCCCATAAGCTACCCAGTTTAGGGCATTTCGTTATAGCAGCCCAGATGAACTAAGACAGCAATGTATCATGGACATCTTTCCATGTCAGGAATGATTGACCTAATTCTTTGAAATTACTGCATAATATTTCCTCATATATAGTTATTGTGACTCATGTAATGCTAGACATATTGGGGTTGTTCTTGTTTTGTTTTTTTGTTTTTTTTTTCTTTTTGAGCTCTTCCCTATAACAAATAATATATTAGTAAAAATCTTTGTGCATTAATTTTTTTAAATACCTGTGCCGGCATT